ACCCAACTATGGGTGTTACCCGTTTAACCCCTCTGTAATGTAACTAAACTTGTGTCACCAAGACATCTCCGGTACATCTGTCAGTCAAGAAGTCTCAGATACTTTATCCATTTCCTTAGGACTAATATATTAAACTATTTTATACTTTGTAATAAATCTTTTTTATATAAAAAATTTATTTAAATATATAATTTTTTTTATTTTTTAATAATTTTTTAAAGTATACTTAATTTAGTACAAAGGTGTAAATTCAAACAATTAATTATATAAACTGGATTAGTTTATAGTATAATATATATTTAACATTATCTATCAGGTGTTATATATGTAACATGATATGAATATAATTTTATAAAATTGATATGATAATACCCGACAATCACATGAGCGAAGATCGCATATTTTTAAATCGTTTCTCTTCGTCACACAAAAGAATTTTTAAAAAATTAAACCGATAACTTTATATTTTGAGTAATACTTTACAAAGTTATCGATTTACTTTTTTAAGGTATTTTTCCATTAAAGAATCATAGGAATTTAAAATCAGTAAGTTTCTTCAAAATTGAAACATTCATGTGAATAATTTTTAATAATCAATTACATTTGATTGGCCAGAAATTATTTCAGTAAAGTAACTGATAAGCGAAACCAAAATTTTAATATATGTTGTTGCATAAAAAACCATGTTTTGAGTATATGAAAAATATATATTCAAAGCATGGTTTTGTTGCATAATAACCATATTTTGGCCTAGTTATAGCTAATTCGTGAACGTTAAGAGCATATTTTGAAAGAATGGATATTTTTTAAAGATAAAAAAGTGTTATTTTTTTTTTAATATAATTATAGTGTTTCAAGTTGGAATTGGGGTTTTCTTAGACATTATTTTGTTTTCATCTCGCTTTATCTAACCCAAACATGGTCTATTAAAATGAGTTACAATTTTTGTTAGAAATTGCTTGTTGGGATTATGGTCATTGTGATTAATAATTGGCACGAAATGATAGGAATAGAAAGCCTATAATTGTGTTTCATCGATTTTAGTTAGCCAAAAGTCAATTACGATACATGAATGGATTCAAACGACACAATTAGTAATTTATATCGATAACTCGATAATAAATAATGTATTTCATTATAATTACAAATTATTTTTTAATAAAATGTGTTGGGCAAAATAAACAATAATAAAATTTTATGTTTGAAATGATACAATTTACAATTTTTAATAAAGGGCGCATTGATCGCTATACGATCATTTGTCTCTGTATCATTGTAGTAAGATGTTTATAAAAGTAAACAGTGTTCGTTTAGATAACTGATATTAACGATACAATTATAAAAGTTCAATTGTTTTAATATAATTGTCATTTGTTATAGTCATGATTTATGTGAACAAAAGAAATATAGCTTTGTTTGTTTATTTTTTAAAAATGTGTAAAAACCTTCATTCGATGTAGAAAAATTATTCAGTTTTCGCTCTATAGCCTTTCTCTGCAAAGCACTATCAAATAAATAGTATTTCTATTCAAAGCTGTTATTTAAAAAAAGTAAAAAATTAAAAAACAAAATAAATAAAAATAAAATAAAAATTAAACCATAGCGTATCACTACAAATTGTCTGTCTAAGTAATTTTTGAAAACTTTCTTGATCGCAATACCACTCTACAAAAAAAGAAAAAGAGAGGCATGTAATTTACTTAGAGAAAAAAGTTGTTTCGTCTCTCAAAAAAATATATCTACTAATCTACGAGAAGCAGCGAGTGATATAGAAGAGGAATGGAAAAAAGAAGTCGATATACAAGAAGTGACGACTGATGTAAGAGAGGAACGGGAAAAAGAATTTGATATGGAAAGATTTAATAAGCAAAAAGTAGCAACCAATATACAAGATGATCAGTTATATGAATCTGAGCTGAGCAACAAAAGATGAAAGTATGCCAAAAATTTGAAAACAACAATCTGGAGGAGGGAAAAAAAAAAGCTCTTGAAAAAGAAATAAATAATGAAATGTTATTAAAAAAAAAAAAATTTGATAGTTTACTAACTTGAACATATCTCAACATAATGACACAAAAGTTTCTAATTACTGTACAAAATCCAACCTTATACGTCAATACCATAACACAACCAACACTTATACAAGACCCAACCATATCTATCAATACCATTACACACCCAACACTCCTTAATCCTATAACACAAATACAAACCCCAATAGCATCTACCAAAACCATAATGAGCCTCCAAACACGTCTTGAAGAAGTCAATAGATGTTGCTCATTCACAAAATCGTCTAAACTAAATATACCTACATATGATTATTTGCGTCTAGTAAGTATAGGTAAATTCATAAAATTACTGCTAGACGGGAAAGGTAAGATGGATGCTAGTAGACAGGTTGCTGAATCAGTATGAGACAAAGGTGATTATATTTCAAGATGTATTTGAAATTGGGGTGATCATTTTATATATACAGGGAACTTTCTCTTGATTGTCAAGGTAGTGTTACAAAATAATGAAGTGCAATTCCAAAAATTTAAAGATACAATATTAATTCTAAAGATGTATTGAACGTTAATTAAAATCTTCATAAATAATGACAAATAACCGTAGTCATTAATTCAATTGTCATTTTAAATGACTAGGTCATTCCTGCCCCAACGCGTAAGTCGATCCACATATTCGTGTAAACTAATAGATCACGTGCCAAAAATAGCCAATCAAACCTTCAAAACAGACACGCATTTAGTAATATAAATTAAATAGTTCAATTATTTGTTTCTTCCCATTTATCCACCATATCAATTATTCGTCTAGCACTAACATGCCCGAGATCATAATAATAGCTGTTAAATTCTGGATCAAACATATAAATATGTGCATCAATTTCATCTTTTGAAGTGCATATAGTAGGCGAAAAATATGTTAACATTTCAGGTGGTGGAAGAACAATAAATGTACGTGGTGACGAATAAGGAGCAGTGGTAGGGATCTTTAAAAAAGTTCCAAGATTAATCATTAAATGTAAAAAATCTAAAAAATGATCATAAATTATACTGAGAATACCTGTGTATAAAAGCAATGAAAAGTGATATCTGGTACTTTTACAAAGTTTTCTACCCTGGTTAATAATATCAAAATTTTTAGGCTATGATTTAGTGCAATCAATAACAAATTAGAACTTGATCAAAATGTATTTATATTACCTTTGCTTTAGCTCTTCCTTTTTCCACAAAACACCCACATATTCCAAGTGGCTTCCTAACCACTCTACACCATTACTAACATTATCTTTTTGCGAATATACAGCACCACCAACAAGTGCAGCACCAGCTAACGCAGCCAGTCCCCATTTACTCAATCCAAACGATGTGTTGGAAGCAGTTGCAGCAGTTGCAGCGGTTGCAGCGGTTGCAGCGGTTGCAGTGGTTGCAGTGGTTGCAGTGGTTGCAGCAGTTGCAGCAGTTGTTTTTTTGGTTGCAGTGCTCGAAAGAAATCCAGAAGCCGTCGCTGCTGTACTCAATAAAGAAAATGTACTGCTAACTTGTTGCGCTATGGTACCTGCGCGTTCTAGTGTGGCTTTTGAAAAAACTTTCTCGTGTACACCATAATATGGTGTATCAAAAGCAAATAACCCAATAATTTTTGGGGGAGTTGGGTCATTTTGGGACGCATATTTAAGAATTGTGTCTGCGGCTGTTTTTCAGAAATAAATAGATAAATAAAATAGAACTTTTTCTTTATAATATCAGATAAAAATTTTTAAATCGTACCTAATATGCCACCCATTGAATGTCCAATTAGACAAACCCATACATCACCCTTTCTATCGTGTGAATTTATTTCTTCTTCATTTTCCTTGACCTTTTGTTCTAACCATGTACAAAATAACTCTACTGCCTTTTTCAGATCTCCCCTTGTTTCATACTGAGGATACACTATCGATTCTGTATCCAAGCCTGGTTTTGAACTTGTCAAAAGATGTTGGAGCCTTTCTGGAAATTGCTATTTATTAAGGTATAAGCACACTGAAGCTAATTTAAAATCAAAATCAGAGTTATAAAAGATAAAATCTTTAAAAACCCTAAAAGTATCGTCATCTCCTTTGAAACCGTGAATAAAAATCAGTAAGAACTTGTTTCGTTTTTTAGGTTTCTTTTGCTCAAACATACGAATTGTTCTGGCGAGTTAGGAAGAAAAGACTACGAACATATAAAATTTTCATATTCAAACTATTTTAACAGTTACGTACCGTACCTTGAACATTTGTTCGCACGTGGCAACGCATTTACAAATCTATACATCCGTTTAAATTAAATGCCAGGTGCCGATTACAGAAATTTCTGGCATAATTTGCTGAATCCGCAGTTAAATGCAGTGTTGACCATTTAGGTCATGTCCAACTTTTGTATAACTAATGTGGAAATAAAGACATACGTAGTAAATTTTCATAAGTCATAATAAGTCATAATAAGTCATAATAAGTCATAATAGGTCATAAAAAGATTGGATCTCTTGCAGTATAGGTGACACCTATTAATGATACATTTTATTAGTGGTGTCATCTATACTGCAAGAGATCCAAAATATGCAGGCGGAACTGTCCCAGTGAACCGAACGACATATAGCAGGTTACGGTTGCGGCAAAACCGCATGAATCTCAAATGCCGTATGAATCAAAAAAAAAAAAAAAATCATACAAAGAATAAAAAAATTTTTTATATACTTTTTTTTATTTATTCCTTGTATAATCATATCCCAAATACCATATATGAATTCTAAATGTATCGATAATTAAAAATAGTTTATGTAAAAATTAACATCTGATAATTTTTTAATTAATCGTTGATATATACGTGTTATCATGAATATGTAATAATTAATTATAATATCACTATATATTATGTAATAAAGATAATTTATTATTCTTCATTGACGAAAGTTTTTTTCTGCAATGAATATGAGTGCCGCCAAGAGAAAACCTAAAAGCACCAGCGTAACCAACAATCGAGGGCGCAGTCACATGATGTTCCGATCAATCATGTGATCGACGAACAAAA